TTAATTATAATTTTGTTTTTTTGGCCATTAGGAATCTAGTTTTTCTCTCTTTATTTATTTTTCTATTAGGATTTTTCTCTTTATATATATATTTACTTGTTTTTCGAAAATAAATATTCTGCTGTCTGTCTCTGACAAACGCCACATGCATATGTAAAGGGGCACCAAAGACTTAAGAGACCCACCCACATTATTTTGTCCACATGGATGTGTAAGGTAAGGTAAACCTCTTTTTTTCATTTATTATTTCCTTTCTCTCTTCATTAATTATTCATTATTAACATTGTTAGTAATTGTACCATCTAATTTTTTTGTAAGATATTAAAAAGTAGATGCATTCACCATTGTTGACCATAAAAAGAAGCAAACATTCACCAGTAAGATTAACAAATACATTAGATTCTTGGATTGAAAAATAAAAATAAAGGTATTTATCCAATGAAAAAAGAATTAAATTTGGTCTGAGCTTTCATGTGCATCACTTTCATCAGAGATGCATAAAAAATAGATACCTCATTATTCCCAAGCAGATTTTTTCAGAGCTTTGTCATAAATTTTATTTGTAAAAAAACAAATAAAAATATTAAACAATTCAATTACATTCTCTTACAATGTATAAATCTACGGATACACACGAATACATGTGTACACGCATGTGTATGTACGTACTACACATACATTATTACTCAACCGATGTTTATATATGCTTGAAAAGCTTCTCCATATAATTGTAGAGATAGCTCTTTGCCTTTTACAGACTCACTTCTCTCAAATAACACACCAAAAAAAAAAAAGATATCATTTTTTTCTTCTTCTTCTCTTCTTTCTTCTTCAAGGAACCCTCCAAGAGAACAGACACAGAGAAACCTAATTCCTTGTCTGCTCATAACTTCACAAGTAGCTTTACCTTTGTCTTAATGCTGGGTTCTTCTTTGTCCTCCTGTCTCTTCCTCTTCTTTTTCTACTACTTCCTCTGAGACACAAAACAGAGGAGATAACAGAAAGTGGAGATTTTCAAGAATTGGTAATGAGAGAATCTTAAAGTTCCAAAGTTTTTTAAGAGTCAAAAACCTTCAGAGACCAGAGCTAAGAAGACAAAGAAGTAGTAGAAGAAGAAGAAGATGTCGGCGAAGCTTTTGTATAACTTGTCAGATGAGAATCCAAATCTGAATAAACAGATTGGATGTATGAATGGGATCTTTCAGGTGTTTTACCGGCAACATTATCCACCAAGACGTGTCACCGTCGCCGGAGATGAGCTCAAGTCTCTTCCTTCAGGTAGCATTCTCACTCTCTATCTCTCTCTCTTATCTTTCTTAGCTTGCTATGTCCTCTCCATCAAAAGCTGAAGAAAAATTATACGTTTGAGAGGAAAAGTTCTTCAACATAAGACATTGTTTTTGTATTCTAGTTCCTGACTAAGATCCTAAATCCAAGGTTCAGGACCACAAAAGATGAAAGAAACCAAAGCTCTATAACATGTCTTGTCTTCAGAATTCTCTATACTTATCTATAGGTGTATTACCTAACAAAACTACGTATTGGTTAAAAGTTAAATTTGGTGGGGAATTTTTTGCAGGCAAAACAAGTGACAATGTCGGTGATACCAACATTTCAACGGACAAGAAGGAAACGGTAAGAATCTGTAACAATTAGAGAAATGGTATTTTCCATGGAAGAAAATGAATATTAAAAAGTGAAATTTACTGGAATTGCAGGAGAAGAGTAAGAAGAAGAAGACCGCAAAGGAGAAACAGAGGGGAGTCTCCTCTGAATCGTCCTCGAGGTTGTCGTTTTCTTCTTCACCATGCTCCTCGAGCTTCTCATCTGCAGATATTAGCACCACGGCTTCTCAGTTTGAACAGTCCGGTTTGATTCAAACGAGTAATGGTGAGAATCCGGTAAGAGAACCAACCAATGGGTCGCCAAGGTGGGGCGGTTTAATGATGCCGAGTGATTTAAGGGAGCTTGTGAAAAGCTCTATCCATAAGGAGACAAGAACCAGAGATGAAGAAGCCTTGTCTCAGCAGCCTAAATCAGCCAGAGCTAATGTGTCTCTTCTCAAAGAATCGTCACCATCTCGGAATTCTAATGAATGGAACGAGGGACGGAGAGTAGTGAAGTTGAAGGACAGTCCTCGGTTCTCTTACGATGAGAGGGAGACAAGAAAGACAGGCGCCAAGTTGAAAGAGACCCCGAGATTGTCATTAGACAGTAGATCGAATTCCTTTAGGAGCGCAAGATCTAGTTGTTCACCAGAGCCGCAAGAGCTTGTAACGGGTCACAGAAGAACAACATCAAGCGTCGTTGCAAAACTGATGGGTCTTGAAGTCATACCAGACGAGCCTGTGACCGTTCATAATAGAGAAAATCGCTTCTGCGACTCCCCGAGGCCAGCTTCCCGAGTGGAAGAAGATCTACAAAGATCAAGAGGTTCTGATTCATTCAAAAAGATGATGACTGCTAAGTTTCCTATGAAAGCATCTCCATGGGCGCAAGTGGATTGTGCCAAGAACCAAGTCAAAGCAGCAGATGCTACTACGCTGACAGTTTATGGTGAGATACAGAAGCGGCTTTCACAGCTTGAGTTTAAAAAGTCCGAGAAAGACCTCAGAGCTCTTAAGCAAATACTTGAAGCAATGGAGAAGACGCAGCAGTTGATAAGCAAAGACGATGACAACAAAAATCTATGTTCAACCAATTTTATGCAGAGAACAGATCAACCAATTCCATCTGCAACAAACCCGCCGTCCAAGAATTTCAAATCTTCCTCTATTGTGGTTATGAAAGCAGCCGCGGCTCCAGTCTTCAAAGAGACAGGCATTTCTGGTTCCGCCTCTTTCTCCCCACGGAATGTTGCTTTACCAAATGTCAAGGTTGGAAACCTGAGGCAAACCCAGAAAGTCATTCCGAGGAAGCAGAGTGCCATGGATGAGACCTCGAGGCCAGGATTTTACAAGGGCCAGACAGATTCCACAATGAAAAACACTAGTACCAGACTATTACAATCAAAAAGCGACATGGCCAGGTCAGGGAAGCTCCAGAAGCCTAGTGTCAGCCCAAGAACACCACCAAAGAAGCTTGGGTTCGAGAAGCAGTCTCGACCAACATCTCCAAAACCAGAACCGAACAAGATCCAGAGACAACTCAGTAGACAACAGACAGAGTCAGCCTCCCCGAGAAGAAAACCAGGGATAAAATCTCGTGGCCTACAGCAATCGGAAGACCGTTTAAGTGACGAAAGCAGTGACTTGAGAAGTCTACGATCTGACAGCAACGTAAGCTTGGCCTCTAACCTTGACACTGAGGTTACAAGCAGGTATAACTATGAGAGGAACAGTGACATTACGGAGCAACACACCCCGAAACAAAGGGTATAAACTTTTCTCCTAACGCAAATTTCACTTGACAAGTTATTCACTAGTACATGTTTCACAGAATTTCATCTATATATCAATGCAGAGTCCAGACTTGGGAATGAGGTCGTTGCCAAAACCTCTGAAAGTTACAGTGGAGCAGCCCAGCCCGGTTTCAGTTCTTGATGTAGCTTTCGATGAAGATGAGTCACCATCCCCTGTGCGGAAGATATCCATTGTCTTTAAAGGTGAGTCACTGGGAAGGTTCAACAAATTTCAGACTGGCATTCAATTTTTCTTCGAGCCTAGAAAAGAAATGTTAAACTACAAGTTCATTAACATTAAACTCGTTACATTTATCCACAATATATTCAAACCAGATTGCAAGTTTTGATTTGTCTAAAGTTTCTCACCTTTACCATCTCTTGCCACAGAGGACGCTAATCTAAGTTATGAAGAGTCCCAGTGGATGAACAAGCACAGCAACTTATGTAGATCGATTGTGTGGCCTGAGAGTAACGCGACTCTCAAGCAGCCTGATGCCGAACTTATGGAGGGTTTCATGGAAGAAGAGGCTGAATTCAAAAATGGTGACCACAAGTACATCTCAGAGATACTGTTGGCATCAGGGCTTCTGCGAGATATCGACTACAACATGATAAGCATTCAGTTGCACCAAGCACACCTACCGATCAACCCGAGCCTTTTCTTTGTACTGGAACAGAGCAAGACAAGCAATGTGAGTCCACAGGACAACAAGCACAAAGGCAGAGGATTTGGACAACAACAAACGGTGAACCTGATAGAGAGAAGCAAGAGGAAGCTCGTATTTGACACCATCAACGAGATCTTAGCTCACAGATTCGCTGCAGAAGGGTGTACGAAGCAACCATCCATAATATCATCAATCAGCACTCAAAGGATACCCGTAAAAAGTTCAAGAGGGAAAGAGCTTCTGCAAACTCTGTGTTCAGAGATTGATCGATTACAAGATAACTCAAAGTGTATCTTGGATGAGGACGATGAAGATCTCATTTGGGAGGACCTGCAAAGCCATGGCATGAACTGGAAGGAGATTGAAGGAGAGATACCAGGGTTAGTGTTAGACATTGAGAGGCTTATCTTCAAGGACTTGATTGGCGAAGTTGTGACAAGCGAGGTTGCAGCTTTTCCAGGAACGCTCAGAGGGCAACCAAGGCAGCTTTTTCATTGCTAATAATATTCCTAATTAATCGTCACTTAGAATTGTAAATCAAGGAATCTAAATCATCCATTTTACAGAGTTGAGAACATTTGGTTTCTTGGTTCTCTGAAAAGCCTTTTCCTATGTTCTCTTCTTAATTATTTATGTAAACTTCTTAAATGTTTATGTAAAGACTCAACCCAAGATAAATCAATGTTATATCCATCAACAAGAATATTTCAGCAAACCTCAATTGATGTAAAGACTTAACATCACTTCTCTTCCAACAATTCTGAATTAAGTTTGAATTCCTAACTCTGCCAGACCTAAAAGAATCGAGTTTAACTAGAACTGAGGATATTATATCTTCATTTTGAAAAAATGTTTCACAGGCAAATGATGTAAAAGACCGAACACCCTTCTCTTCCTCTGGCAGTTGAGTCAGTAAAAAAATCTCTTTCCCTAAAAAAAGTCATGTATTCAATTGCAAACTATCACTAAACTCAGGATGGGAAGATATTCTGTCTACAAATTCTAAATGACAAAATACCTATTTTACATCTGCGTCAATAATTTCGCGCTTTTCTTCGCATTCTACCTTCTTCTCCCTCTTGTCTCCATCCTCATGAAACCAACCCTTTTCCTCTAAGCACTGATTTAACGTCCAACACACAGAGGCTTTTCGAGTCCCAATCTTGAAACGAAGCAAAGCTCGTTCTGTTCTTCCACCATCTCTTTTCTTTCCATCTTCCATTTCAGCTAATCTGTTCTTGTCGTTGATCTTATCAGATAGAGCATATGCCTCAAGTGCTGGAATGTGATGGCTCTTGCTCATATGTTTCTCAGGAACGTGGTTAATGCTAATTTCTTCTTTCGTTAGCTCTGACGGGGGAAACACACGTGACAAGTTCTTCTCTCCAACCCAAAGTGGTGCAGCAAGAAATGGGTTACCTTCCGGTTCCGGTTCCTCAGTTGGTTTCTGAACATCCTTTTGATCCATGGATTTCTGAACTTTTAACCTATCAACAACATCGACAGACTGCTGCATACTAGACAAAGATGGTCCATTTTCTCTACTTTGCACATCCCCTTCTATTTTGTCAACATTAGTCTCCTCTGACCCGTTAGACATCTTGGTTTCAGGAAATGCAGGAAGCCAAACTGGAATATGCTCATCTGGTGGCTCTGCTCCAATATCGGAAAAGCTAGGAGCTGGTCTTTTTCCTCTGTTAAAAGGGAAACGGGGAAGAGAATAAACGAAAGGAATCTCCTCCGCTTCTCCTGTATAACGAATAATATCCTTGACGACACCAGAATCAGCAAGACAATGCTCAACATCATGAGCACCTTCGAAACCCAATCCAGATCCCAAATCCTCCAGTGCTTGAACAATGTCCAGAGCATTACCTTCTACTCTACCAGCCATATTAGCATAGAACTTCGCAGTCTTCCCAATGTTTTGAATGTATTGAATCACTACATCAGTTAGTGTTTCAAGAGCAGTCTCTTGAAAAGAACTGAATCTCAAACCTTCGCGTGTCTGTGATTCCTGGTAACTGTTAATCTCAACGCTCTCACATATTTGCGCAGCGGCCATTTTAACAACGGCGTACGAAAAATCATTGCCACGAGAAATACTTCTTTTCCCTTGTAGTTCTCTCCGCTGACTTCCACCCTCTCCGCCTCCATTGGTCATATTCAACCTTTATTACAACTTTACACAGCGTAAAATGTAAAACCATTTCTTGAATCAACCCAACGAAATTTGCATTCCTTTGACACCAATATTGTTTAACTCATCTCCCACGGAATTCTCATCTAGGTACCTTAAAAACGGAGAAAAATACCAAATTCAACATTGAGCTGAAGAATAAATTGAACCAAATGACATACAAGAACGAAGAATAAAAACCCAGTTGCCCAAATTATAAAAACGAAAATTGAACTTCAATAAATATCAATTCTTCCCCACAACAAAACCCTAGAAACTCAACGAGGTCCAATTCACGGCATAAGAACGGACCGGTTAAAAACGAATCCGTTAAATAGAAACGAAAAGCTTACCGGAGAAGAAGACTTCCCCGTTGTAAAAACCCACGGAGCAGCGGAATCAACTAGGAAGAAGGACCAGACAAACTCCGGCAGACACTCACGAAGAACCCAATTGAAAACCCTAGCGAAAGGAGTAAAATTTGGGAGGAGGTTAAGGGTTTCGGAGGTACCAAGAAACCCAAATCGAAGTATAAAGGCTCCAAATTCTAAGGCAACGATAAAAACCCCAGCTTAAAACCCCTCGATCCAGAGAGGGAGAGAGATAGAGAGAGAGATATTGAAAGTGTGAGTTTTTCGTCACCAACTTTATAAGCGGAAGCAGATGACTAGAGGAAAGAGGGAATGATAACTTCACAACCGAGCAGATAGAGATCTCGTGACAATGCTCTATTCTTCTAACACGTGTCCTTTCTCCTTGCTCTTCACTAAAACAATTTTGCTATGTGCAATTTAAATTCCAGTTATTAAGCAATTCTTTAAATCTTACCGGTGTAATGAAATCACATGTAATAATTGTTGTTACTAATGACAGTTTCATATGTCTTTGATTATAGATTTGTAATCTAGTCACAAGTGCAATCTAAATTCAAATAATTTGTATTCCACATTATTCTTTCTATTTTAACTAGATGATGTTTAGTGCAGTGTACATTAAAATTATTTAAAAAATTTAAATGAATTTTGACATGTGTCTTTTTAAAAAAAATATTGTTCGCATTTTATCTTTCATTAAAAACAATTTTTGCTATGTGCAATTGAAATCCCAGTTAAGCGAATCTTTAAATTTTACTTTGTGTAATAAAATCGCAAATAATAATTATTGTTACTAATGGCAGTTCCATATGTCTTTGATTATAGATTTCTAGTACCGCCACAAGTTTAATATGAGTTCTAATAACTAGTATTAAACTTTGTTATTTTATTTTTAATGAGATGATATCCCGTGATGTTTACGGTATTAAAATTATTTAGAAATTTTAAGTAAATTCGGACACATGTTCTTTTTCACTTTCCTTATTTTTTTTGTTAAAAACAATTTTTGCTATGTGCAATTTAAATTCCAGTTAAACAAGTCATTAAATCTTATTGGTGTAATGAAGTCGCATGTAATAATTGTTGGTACTAATAGCAATTCCATATGTCTTTGATTATAGGTTTTTAATCCAATCACAAATTCAATATGAATTCTAATAAATGCTATTAGACGTTATTATTATTTTTTAACTACATGATGTCTCGTGCTGTCTACGGTACTAAAATTATTTTGAAATTTTAAGTAAATTTCGCTTTCCTTGTTTTTCATTAAAAACAATTTTTAAATCCAAGCTAAAGCAATTCCTTAAATTAGGAAAGTAACGATATATTTGACTAGAATTAGGTAAAGTTACCATTTAGTAAGTTAAATAGGAAAGTAATGATATAGTATTTGACTAGAATTAAACAGTTACTGACAATCTTATCTATACTACTTTCTTAAACCGGAAAACTCAAACAAAAACCAAACCCAATTTCCGATTGAACATTTATAGTGGCAATCTTGAATTGGTTCGGTAGTTTGGAGCATTACTCTCGGTTTGAGATTAGTTCCCTCCGCTACAAGTTACAACTTCTGTAGAAGAAGATTCAAACTATATGATAAAGTTTGATCATGCAAACAAAGATAATCTTCTAGTCTTTCCTTTTTTTCCTTCTTCTACTTCTTGAATCAATCACGTCGAAATGGACAATAAAATTAAAGCAAGAGAACCAGCGGTTTATACAAACTTTTTGGGATTGCGGTTCAGACGTTTGCTTTGACAACAACGATTTCTTTTGTGGCGGTAGCTGAGGTAGAGTCTGAGTTGATGGGATGAAATAAAATTGTTGTTGTGGTTGTGGACCTTGTGGTTGCTTTTGCGGCTGAGACACCTCTGAAAATAGTTGGTTATCGTAAACGTTCCATATGGTTTCCAACGACGGCATTGTGACACTTCCATCTTCTTCGTTATGCAGGCTGCCAAAAAAAGATATAAAACAAGAATTGAGTTTTTCATTCAGAGAAACAGAATTAGGGCTAATGTGTTCTTGTGGCACAAGCAAGCATTCTCTAAAAACAGAGCAAACTTATACATGGGGAATGTGAAAGAAGAGATGCTGTTGTTGCTCGCCTCTGAACGACAACAAATGCTTATATCGTCTTGTATAATCTCTTTCACATCATCGTCATCATCTTCAAATGTTGCTTTTTCTTCTTGTTTACTCTTTATTACATTTGAAATATCTTGTTCTTTGCAATTGAGTTTGATCATCTCTTCTATATTGCTCTCATCAATATGAACACGAGAAAAATTGAGCTTTTTCATCTATTTTGTCTTTCGCTTATGGGCTGTTTGATTATATATGAACACGAAAAATCTCAACAAAAGTCTTGTTGTTGTTGTTGTTTGTTAACTATTGAAGCCATTGTATTATGGCGTTTGTTAAGTGCACGGGAACGATTTAGGATTTATGTAAGCAATTAGTTTGTAGTTAACAAAGTTTTACCACTCAACCATTTTTAGCAAAAAGTTAGTAATCTCGAGAAAAAACAAAACAAAAATCATTAGTATTGGTTAAAATACATGTATTAATCAACAAGAGTCGAATTGTCTATGATGTAATAGAAATTTGGTGCTACTTAAAAGATAGGATTTACATATTCTCAAAAAAAGATAAGAAATAATATTTACTCGGTTCAGTTTCATTAATTCAATTTTCTTTGGTTTGGTTTGGTTTGGTTTGTATAAACAGAGGCCTGAGCGGGCCCATCTTAAAGATCCAAATGCTTTGGGCCCAAAATTGATATTATCTCACCCGTCGAACCACATATTTCTGGTTTGAGTAGCCCCGGTATGATTTAAACCGGAAAAGGAGGTCAATTCCGTAATTTTAAATTTCCTTAAACCCTGTGTCTGGGTGATTTTGCCACACTTCATCGCCTCGAGCCAGAACCCTAATTTTTCTCCGCGTCTTCTTCTTGCTCCGTAACAGGCCATCGGAGAAGTTAAGAGGCAAAAATGGATGTCGACAGAGAAGATGTTTCTAGAAGACTTCACGTTAAGTTCGTGACGAAGCTTGACTCTCCATTCAAAGTTCCGGTCAATTCCGTCGCCATCCCTTCCAATGTCACTCGTCTCGGTCTTTCTTCCATCGTCAATTCTATTATCGAATCCGGTACCCTCTTCTCTCCATATCTACATGTAGTTTCGACTGCTTGTATTTACTGGCCTTGTCTTTAAATTTGTCAAATCCTAAGTGTGCTAGGTCTGTTTAGGAACTTGTTTGTACTTATGAATTAGAGCTTAGATAAAAGCATCCATTATTGTTCTACCTTGGATTATGCAATATTCGTATCTGAGACTCTTTGGATGAACAGATAATCCTGAGTGGAAAACTGAGCCATTTGATTTCCTGATTGATGGGGAGCTTATCCGGATGTCACTCGAAGAGTTTCTTCTTGCAAAGGGAATATCGGCGGTAATGTGTTTCATCTTAATCTTCCACTATTCACACCGATTAGTGTAGTTGGGAATTTTTCTTGTATTTCTCATTTCGTGAGGAACAGCAAATTGGTGTTTAATTTCAGTGTGGTGGCTGTTGCCAGTGTCTGCGTCATGGAATTAGTTCATCTTTATCTTGGAAACTATTACTTAATTAAGTTCATTGGTTCTTACAGGAGCGTACTCTTGAAATCGAATACATAAGGGCTGTGACACCACGGAAGGAAGAAGAACCCTCCTTGCATGATGATTGGGTCAGTGCGGTGAATGGTTCATCTCCCAGGTAATTATTTTTCCTACTGCATTACTTTATGATGTACAATTTCCCTATAAGCTGCTGACATATTTTACGATTTTTTCTATAACATCAGTGATTTGAATCAAAAATTCTTATATATTTTTATGCACAACCACCTTGTCATATGGAAAATCATAGACATGTATCTTTGTTTAATATACTCGCCTGCCATATCATTGTTGTTAGAATTAGTCTTAATTCGTTCCAATTCAAGGACATCCAGTGATCCGTATAATTGTGAAGAATTAATATAGTCTTTTGTTTTTGTTCATAAAGATTGTGTTAGTGGTTGTCTTGATCTCGCTGTTGGTATTTGCAGATTCATTTTGACTGGCTGCTATGACAGTTTAGGAAGGTAATCATTTGAATCATTTAATTAATCTCATATACATTTGATTATCTTCGTCCTTTTGCATTGCTTTCAAAATTTGCAAGAATCTTAGATTATTTGGTTTTTCTTCTGATAAGGGTATGGCGTTTGGCTGGATCATGTTCACACATATTAGAAGGCCACTCCGGGGCTATCTCCTCTGTTGCTTTAGTTAATTCCAACGGTATGAGCATAGCATGAGAAATCTATACTATGCCTGTTCTGTACTAGCAAATGATATTAACAAGAAGGATTTTTCCTTTTTTGCTCATTGATCACTCCTTGTTTTTTTTTTTTTGTGTTGATTTTGTGCATCCAGATGCAGAAACTGTTACTGTAGCTACTGCCTCTAAAGATCGGACATTGAGATTGTTTAAGGTAATCATGGATGATATATCATACTTAAAACCAAAGGTTAATTTTACGTCTAACTAAAGATATATCTACCTGTATGAAGTTTGATCCAGCTGAATCTGTTGACTCTACTACAAAAGTTAGAGCGTACAAGATATTGCGTGGACACAAGGCGTCAGTGCAAAGTGTTTCAGCTCAGAAATCCGGGAACATGGTTTGCGTTTACCCCTTACACTTAACTTGTGTTTTGCAAGTATAACTACGTTGCTATATTTCTTCGAGCTAAGCTTACCAACTTTTTTTTTGTTGTATCATGGAATTTAGATTTGCTCGAGTTCATGGGATTGCACGATCAATTTATGGAACACAAATGAGTCTACTTTAGAAGGGGAGTCAGTATCAGTGAAGAAAAGAAAAGGGAATAATCAGGCCGAGGAATCTCAGTCAGAGGTACCCGCAATAAAGTCTGGATAATATGCACTCTTTTGAAACTTACTATCTACTCTTCGAATCAAGAAAAAGAGAGAAATGTTCTCCCTGTTGTTTTCTGAGTTCAAGTGTCTGATATCAATTACAATATTGAATTTCTTACAGGGAGAGGCGGTGACTTCTTTGGTTGGACACACACAGTGTGTCTCATCAGTTGTTTGGCCAGAGCATGATGTAATTTATTCCTCTTCATGGGACCATTCCGTAAGGAGATGGGATGTTGAGACAGGGAAAGATTCTTTGAACTTGGTATGCCTTCTCTCTCTCCTTTTCTTTCTTAAATATTCGGGCACACACACCAGACTTGTTGTTGCTGAAAAATCAGTGCTTTTAAGTTGTTTCCGCCAAAACTTAGAGCTGGTTTGTTTCTGTGAAACTGTAGTTCTGTGGAAAAGCTCTCAACACAGTAGATGTTGGTGGTGAAGGTTCTGCCCTTATAGCTGCTGGTGGCTCAGATCCAATCCTTAGAGTATGGGATCCTCGTAAGCCAGGTAAGAGATCCATATGAACACACGCCAAGTCAATATAATATAACCAGACCGGGTTTTTATTACACAGTTGATAAACTCTCTTCATTTACTCTGTAGGAACATCCGCTCCGGTGTTTCAGTTTTCTTCACACTCATCATGGATTTCCGCCTGTAAATGGCACAAAAGCTCTTGGTTTCACTTGCTCTCCGCTTCCTATGACGGCAAAATCATGCTCTGGGATCTCAGAACCGCTGTAATTACAAAGCACACACACTCCTTTCCGTTATAACCCATGGTTTTCCCTCTTGAAAACTAATCTTCTTCCTCCTTTTGCAGTGGCCTTTGTCAGTAATCGATACACACAATGACAAGGTAAAGTAAACACAATCTTTCATTCTATCTTCTAAAACTTTTAGTTCTTTTCGTTACTGACATGATGTAAAAAAATTTGGTTTAAAAGGTTTTATCTGCCGACTGGTGGAAAGGAGAGAGTGTAGTCAGTGGAGGAGCAGACTCTAACTTGCGAATTTCTTCGGGAATTGCAATTTCTTAAAAGGTATGAAATCCAAAATCTTTTGACCATTTCTTTTCTTACACGAAATGTGGAGCAACGAAACATTACTCAGTTTCGTAAGAAGGTCTGAAATCCTAATTCTTTCAACTAATTATTTTCTTAGATGAAATGTGGGTGGAACTCAGAAACACCAACGATTCACGATCCTGGAATGAGACTGTTGTAAGTTCTGCTGAAGAAAGCTTATTGTCTCTAAGGTTGTATACTCTTCATATTCCGAAATGTTTAATCTTAATTATATTTTTGGTGGGAAGCAATTTTGTTTTTATTGTTTAATAACGCCTATTTTTTTTAAAAGCTATTTCCTTCTGTTTCTGCCGTGCTGAATACTAACTTAGTTATGCTTTCTCTAGCCGAAAAAATAAATAGCATCAACTACAAAATCTACCATCTTCGTTTCCCAATTATGTATGTTTTAAAACTATAGAAAAAGTGTACAAATACTACTAATTTAGAAAGAGAATAGTGATATCTGAATTCCAAACCATGCCCATAATTTTGCTGAAAAAAAGACTACAGTATATTAAATAGTTCCCAGTCAAAAGTTAATCTGGCCATCGTAAGTTTGTTTGAACTGCCAATTAGATGGAGCAACATCATGAAGGTCCAAACATTTCCCATCGCTTGTACTAACCTTAAAAGACAAACTCTCTCTGAAAACCTGTCCCCAGTTCCGACGTATATATCTGAAACCAACCACCGCTCTTCGAACCTTTCACCTTAACCTACATCACCAACATCTTCAACGTTGTAAACAAGAACCACCAAGAAATAAGGATTTCCGGTGAACTGAAACTTGACACCACCATGTTTACGCGGGCATAAAACTCGCCTATATTTCACTGGACAACTCTGGCTTTGTACTCAGCAATCTTGAGGAACATTGGTAACGAGAGATGGATATGTTTCTGCGGCGGATTGCACCAAACACCTTTGGTTTTGGTGTATAGTTTGCTGGGCAGAAATTGGTGGCTGTGACGCGTATAGGTTTGGCTCCTTTGATGCACGCTTATGGATTGTTGACGCACGTTATCTCGAAGCAAGCACCGTGGCTCCATTATTGAACAAAACCGTGCTTAGAGCCGTCGTCTCTAAACCGTAGCCTTGCTCGAAGAGATTACCGTACCCACAAGCTCCTTCCTAATCATGGACTGGAAACCTCTGCATTTTTTTTTCCTCTAAGCTTGATTTTCGCCAAGCTCCTTCATTTATCATCCTAAGGGTTTTGTATATTGGGACCGATGAAATCGATCCAAAAACAGTCTCGATCTCGACTCGGTTTGGATCAATCTCAGAGGTCCCAATATTGAATGAGCTAATACAGGTTTTATCCGAAAAGTTTTATATAAGCCTTTCCAAAGATGCAACAATATCCATATATAATCTTCTAACATATATCTCCCTACCAAAAAAAAAAAAATCTTCTAACATATATCTTCGAAGGATTAATTAATGGAGTAATGAGATTTCATCGAATACATATATTAGATGTATATAATATTTTTGACTAGCAATTTTTTTTGGATTTCATAAATTTTAGAAACGAAATATAGTTTAAACAATTTTTTTGCAAATCAAAATGCATATCTTGTTTGGCAAAAAAAAATGAATATCAAAAACTGGTCCTGGATCCTGGGAGATTACAGGCCTAGCCCAAAACTTCCTTATTAATAAAAGAATATAAATAAATGAATATATGGCTTTCCAACAAAAAGAAAATGAATATTTATTTTAAATCTATCATTAATGAGTAAAAATATCGCGTTTCAAAAAATCAAAACGACCCCTGACTACGAAAATAACTTAACCACCCGAAACTACCCCATTTTACTTAACGATTGTTAACTGCCATCAAGTGAATAGTTGAGGGTATAACCGTAATTCAGTAGAGGAAAAAATACCATAAATCATTTTAATGTCTAAAAATGAGGAAAATTTCAGGGGAAGATTGCTCATTTACTTTCCCCGCCAATTGCATCTTCCTAATTGCCTCTAAATTCTTCCCTAATTCCAATCTAGGGCTCAATTCTCTATATGAACTGATAAACTTTCTTCAAAATCCTCTCAAATTCCCCTTTGATTCTTCGATGTTCTTCGAAATCTGATACCTCGAAACCCTAATTTTTGAATTCGTGACGACTACAGTTCGATCCAAAGATGAGCAATCCAAGCAGTTCCGGCTGGGGTTCAAGTTCTAGTTTGACTCAGTTCGGGATCGGTTTGGCTAATACTGTGCAGTCGGAGGTTGCTCCTTACTTGCCGCTACCGTCGTTACCTATATTCTGTGGTGCGGCGGAACCTGGAGAGTTCAAGCTGTTCGATGAGGTTGGTGAAGGTAGTAGCTACAGGTCGTTGGATCGCAGTGAGATTCTAGCGCAATCCAGTAGAATCGCAAATATGCTTCATGAGACTGACGTTTCTTACCTGTAAGCGATCTATTGTTTTTGTATTTGGCAACTATAATTCGCGCCTCTGGAAATCAGAAACTAGTTGGTGCTTTTTTTGGTCAATTGGATTGGTGAAATGCGTTGCTGTTCGGTTGAATCTACCTCGTTGTTAGTATTGTTAAGGCGATTATCTCGTGTGTCATATGTGAGTTTAAGAAGCTAACGAATCAGCTAATCGATGAAAATTAGTTGTGACTGCAGTGAATAATATGTTGTCTTGTTGGCTGATATAAAAGAGGTTTGATGATTAGATAATGTTTACGTCTTCAGGTTTGGGCAATTTTGTTGGTGAAGTGATCGGTAACATTTTGTTCTGTGCTGGTTAAAGGGGTTATTTTCAAGGCTGACCTTGAATTAAGTAATGATAGTGGGAATTTTCTGTTACACAGGGAAATTCATGCCGAGACTATGATTGTAGAGGGCACTAATTTCTTTTTCTCTGATTTAATCTAACAGGGATCTTAGAAACGAGGCTAGGGCGCCCGATTGTAATTCTGGGGAGCATTTTCAGTTATATGACCAAGTTCTACGATGCAATCCTGGAGCATTTGAGTATGTTACCCCCGGTAAATGAAGCCTTCTCATTTTTTCCTTTTTTGGTTAATCTGCGGAGTAACAGATTTCAGGGGAAATATTGAACATCTTTTTGAAAAGAATCCTAGGTTTTAGATTATTTGGTCTGCATTTAAGATGCCTTTAATGCTTGATCCTAGTAGTATCTTCCTTCTTTGTTCATCCAGTCAGGTGGTAGTGAACCTCTATTTGACGTTCCAGGAAAACTTGTTATTGTGTTAGTGTATGATAGATTTGATATGTTTGTCTTTATTATTTATTACAATTTTCAAGTTTATCAGGTCCGACATGCGATCCAGTCTTTACCAATGAAGTGCCTCAAAAGATAATTTCTGAGCCAAGTGTTCCTGTCAAGATGCATCGACAGACGGATAATCATTTAGCTAGGAGTATCGAACCTGAACCTGTGAAAAGGGTATTACGATCAAATCATGTTGAAGAAGATCATAGTTGGCAGCACGAAACTCTGACAAACCAGTCACCGAAAGATGTTACTGCATATCATGACTCTCGGCCTGAAACGATCACCATGAATGTAAGTCCATTATCATAATCTTCATCTATACGTGGCTTTCTTCTGTGCCATGTACATAACCAAATGAAAGTGCAGGAAATTTCTGCTTCCAAAAAGCCAAAGGGAAAGAAGAAACGTAAAGATGACTTGTCTTCAGTTCAACCAGATCCATCTGTGCTGCAAGGTCTGTTTGTCCTCGTTTCCTTGTTTTCTTTGCATGCACCTCTACCCTCTCAGTAATTGTAGTTTTTTTAATGCTTGTTTAGAGTCCATCGTAAATAGTTTTTGTGAGATGTTGGAGGACTTCTGTGGCAGAGCTGAAGTCCCTGGTGATGATAGGGATGAAGCAGAGTGGTCATCAGTGCCTGTTGATGAAGTTCGTGTTCTTGTAAATGAATTGATGACTATACGGTCAAAAATGCTTCTGCATATGGTACCTGTTGATATTCTAGCGAGGTTATTGCGCACTCTGGATCATCAGATACACAGGGCAGAAGGCTTGTCCATTTATAGTGAACATGTGAGTAATTTTTTGTTTGTCTCTCTCTATTTGCTCCTCTCTTGCTTTACAGTTGTGAGGATTCTTTCATGTTGCAGTCGACGCATGGACTGTTTTATCGTACAATTTAGCTTGCAATCAAAGTTATTTTTTTCTCTGTTCGAAGTATATTTTCTTGGACTTGCAAGGATGCATTATTGATTTATTTCTTTGTACCGTGTGTTAAATTATCACGTTTAGTATTATAAAAGTGGCAAATACCTTTTTTCTTTTTGTATTTAACATTTTCTGCGCAAAAATATTTCAGTCAGATTCAGATTCAGTTTTGTTGGTTCTTGGTGCCCTTGAGTCAATTCATGCATCGCTAGCAGTGATGGCCAACAGTGATATGCCAAAGCAGCTCTACAAGGAGGAGGTGAGTGCTTCTTAAGTGTTATTTTCCCTGAAGTCTGTTTATGGTTATCTGCTCACTGCTACCGTTCCACCATATTTGAGTGATTCATTTTTTAATATCTTTTTTACTTCTTTCAATCAGATAATTGAGAGAATTCTGGAGTTTTCTAGGCACCAAATGATGGCTGTTATGTCTGCTTATGATCCATCATACCGCACTGGAAGTAAACCAGCAGAAAATGTGGCATTTGAAGGTTGTTTTTTAAATTTACTTTGGAAGTTGCATTTGCTATGCATATTCTGTACCAATGTATGGCATGTTATTTTCCTATATCTGAAACTTGAGTTTTATCCTAGTATGTAAGCGCAAAGATTGTGCCTTTTGACATGCTTTGTTGTTTTTTCAATATTCTCATTTCTATTCCACAAGGTTATGTTCTACTTACACAAATCTGACATATAGATATATGCCACACATGCTTTTATAGGTGATGATGATGATGATCCCGATCATGACATGGGCTCAGCCAGCAAAAGGCGGCGCATAGGAAAAAGCGGCAAAGTAAAGAAGTCGTCAGTGAACAGGTTTACTAATTAATACCCATTCTTTTGTGATTTTAGTTGCACACATTTTCCCATCTGCTATTTCTGTCTGTAGGATCTCTGGAGCAGTGAATACTGCACTACAGAAACTTTGCACTATTCTTGGCTTACTCAAGGACCTGTTGTTGGTAGAAAGGTTGTCTGACAGTTGCATTTTACAACTGTTGAAGACAAGTATTACAACATTTCTGGTGGAAAATATCCAACTTCTGCAACTTAAAGCAATTAGCTTAATTGGTGGTGTAAGACTTTCCACTTACTCCAT